AGGAGGAGGAGGAGGAGGAGGAGGAGGAGGAGGAGGAGGACGAAGAAGAAGAAGAATAATAAGCAGAAGAAGAAGAAGAAGAATAATAAGAAGAATAATAAGAAGAATAATAATAATAGTAAGAAGAATAATAATAATAAGAATAAGAAGAATAATACTAAGACGAATAATAATAATAATAAGAAGAAGAATAAGAATAATAATAATAAGAATAATAAGAAGAATAAGACGAATACTAATAATAATAAGAAGAAGAATATGAAGACTAAGAATAAGAATAATAAGAATAATAATAAGAATAATAATAATAATACGAATAATAAGAATAATAATAAGAAGAATACTAATAATAATAAGAATAAGAATAATAATAATAATAAGAATAAGAAACAGAAGAACAATAAGAAGAAGAATAATAATAATAATCATAAGAAGAATAACAAGAAGAATAAGAAGAATAATAAGAAGAATAAGCAGAAGAATAAGAATAATAATAAGAAGAAGAAGAATAAGAATAATAATAAGAAGAAGAAGAAGAAGAAGAGGAGGAGGAGGAGGAGGAGGAGGAGGAGGAGGGATGCGACCACAGCGCTCTATTCAGAACGAACACCCAACCAAGAAGGGTTGGCAATAATGATGATACTACTATCAATCACACCATTACGCATACGAAAATAACGACTAAGACAAGTAGTAATACTATAATGATATCGATACAACGGACTCTATTGCTACCATACTAGAAATAATATGGATGAAATTCATAAGAATGATAGTAATACGCATACGCATACTAACAATATTAGTCGTGATACTGAGAGGAAGAACCATATTATTCATAATCTTAATACTAAGAATAGTGTTAACAATAAGGACAACAATGACAGTTATAATAACATTACTGCTAGTAGTAATACTTTTTATAGTAGGAGTTATAATGCGAATCCTGAGTTTAGGAAAACGAATAGCAATACGACTTAAAACAAACTTATTAATATTCATATCATGAAAAATACGAAAACCAGGATACTAATACGAAGACTAACGCTCATATTTTGATATATAACCAATGATGATAATACGAATACGAATGACAATAGGAATCTGAAGAACAGGAGGATGATGATGAGGAGGAGGAGGCAGATGAGCGGCAGCGGCAGAGCAGACGGAGCAGAGGAGTAAACGAGCGGAGGCAGAGGGGCGGCAAGGGTTATCTCGGAGCTTTCGCGGGGCTCCCTGGGCACTGGCATTCAGGAGGGGGTGGAGGGGTGGTGGCGGCGGGGGAGGGGGGCGTGGAGGGAGGGGTCGGAGGGGGGGTGTGGAGGGGGAGGGGGGGGAGGAGGAGGGCTGGAGGGGGGCTGGAGGGGTGGAGAGGGTTGGAGGGGGGCGTGGAGGAGGGGTGGAGGGGGGGAGGAGGGCGTGGAGGGGGGCTGTGGGGGGGTGGGTGGAGGGGTGGTGGAGGGAGAGGTGGAGGGGGGGGTGGAGGAGAGGTGGAGGGAGGATGGGGTTCCAGAAACCACATTAAACAGCCCTTGGCATTCTACCACTCCTCAACGTGCTAGGGGACACGGTGGCGGACGTGTTTTCTCGAACGGCCCTCTAGTGCACGTTATCAAGAAGAGGCAACCGATCGTGATCAACGAGGAGCTGGGGAGGCTCGTATGGTGCCTGTCTGCTCACCGATGGTTTGCTGCTTGGCGTGCAGCCGGCAGCGACGCCGAACTCCCAACCTATGATATTTTTGAAGTCTCCTAGTCCTTTGTACTCTCTCGGAGGTTGACACCCTGCCAAGTTCGATGATCCTTTGGACGTGTGTTAGCCTAAGCGTGTGTTTACCCCAGTCGGCTCCGCCGATAGTGCGCAGTCTGTGTGGACCGTCGTTGAGTCGCCTGCGTCGTATTGAAGGGCCTCGGTGGAAAAGCACACGTTGGCGCTGACATGTTTTCTGAAGATCATCGGCAAGTCGATCCGCGTTTTTTTTGTTTTTTTCCTTCTCTTGTTGCCGCGACCGCAGTATTGGCGGGCCTGCGCCCGCCAGGTCTGGTCCCGCCTGGGTCGTTTTCACTACAGGGCGCTTTGGTGCTCTAGAGCTGGTTCTGTCTGCCCCTGTCTCACAGGGGGACGGGGAGGGAGAGGAAGCCAGAGGACGCCAATTATACACCTACGCCGGTCCTGACCAGGCCGATCGTGGACCCAGGATCGGTGGATCGGTGCAGGTGTATAGCTGGCGCCTTCCGAGACTCGATCGGTGGGTGAGAGCGGGGGTGCCTGCCAGGAGGTCCAGGAGGCCATCGACACGTACCAGCTCAGCCCCGACAAGCCCGTGGAGGCGGCGGAGCTCGGAGACACGCTGATCCCGCCGCAGCCGATAGGGCGCGCGGTGACCAAGGCCAGAGATTCGTTGTGCTGTGGAGCGGCAGGGTCGGGCGCTGCCGACGGTGCCCGGGGCCCGAGGCGTCCCCACGAGGTCCAGGGGCACCCCAAGGCCCCCGGAGCGCCCCATCTCGAGGCCCAGGGCCACTGCGCTCCGACAGGGCGCGAACAACTGGGGGCACCTCGGGCCAGGAAGTTCTGGGGCAACCTCTGGAGCAGCAGGGCTGGCACGATTCGCTGAAGCAACCTAGTGCTTCGTCTTGGGCCGCGTTTCTTGGATCTCCAGCGCCCGATCGGCTGACGTTTTTTTTGTGTGGCTGGTTTGTTGGCGACTCCACACATGTCGTAGACAGCCTTTGATTTGTGGTGCCTTCATGTGCACGTCTACAGTGCACAAGCGGAGTACGCCCATGGTGAGTATGCTTCCAGCAACCAAAACCGCGCCATTCGGCGGGAACAATCTGTCAGCGCGGCTTGGAATTCCGTGTGGGGGATTGGTTGTTCACCTCCTCCTCATCCCTCGCCTCTTCCTTCTCTCTGTTCTCATATAGTCATTACCAAGCTGGATGGTTCTTTGTTGCGAGGAGGAGAGAAGCAGCGTCGTGAGCGTATGGGCGGCACGAGAAGAGACATAACAGGAGAAACAGGATGAACGCCAGGCTGTGTTGATGGGATGGAGGAGGTGGAGAGGGTAGAGGGATAGCAATATAGTACGGAAGAGGGAAAACGACGGGGAGGGTATCACCAGGATGAGGTGGATTTCGTTTCCTCTGTGTACATGGTTCATCGTAGGCGTCCCTCCGCTATCCCTGGTCTTGCCCTGTCTGTTCTGGCCTTTCCTGGACCGTTCTGTTTTTGTCTTGTATGATGTGGTTTGATCTGGTTGGATTTTGTTTGGTTTGGTGTTGTCGGGTCTTGAGGAGAGGAAGAGGGAGGAATAGCCACAAAAGGCAAAACATAGTGTGGCGTCCTTCTCCGGTGCCCCTAGAGACTAAATGGGCCTCCTATTGGTGTTTGCACGCCCTTTGTTGAAAGTCGGTATTGCGAAGGCCTTACGGCCGATGCCGCCGACCCTGTAGGCAGCGACGACGAAGACAAGGCAGGTAGAGGAGGAGTTCAAGATGCCCTCAGATGGCTCGAAGACGGCGCCAGATGCCTGCAAGGTCGTCCGAAGACAGCTCAAGAGGCCTCCTCCAGGGTTCGGGAACGGCTCCAGAGAGTGCCAAGATAGGCAAAGAGCGCCCTCAAGTGGCCCGAGAGGGTTCCAAGACGGCGTCAATTTGTCATGACCGTGCAATTTGTCATGACTCTTTGAAGGTGTCTGGACCGTGCAATTTGTCATGACCGTCGGTCCAAACCGGCTTGGTAGGGGTTATAATTTCAGGGGTGCTTCGCGGGGTCTCTTCGGAAAGCCCTGGGGGCGGGGGCGCTGTCAGATGGTGGAGGGATGCTGCGTGGTCAGTGCGTTTTTCGTGGCTCTCCTTCGAAATGTTCGCCGTGCAGGCATGGGGAAATACCAGCGAACACCCGCGCTCATAGACGGTAGGCGTCGGTCCAAAAATGGGACGAGTGGTTCTCGAATGGCACGCGGCGCATCCCGCCACCTTGCTTGGGTTGCTGGTATGCGGCCACACGGGTGGTTGATGGGATCTCGTGGGTGGCCTGACGGGGTCGTCTTGCAGGTAATTTTGGGGCTTCTTGGGGAATTCCGTGGGGCTTCTTGGAACCCTCTGAGGTTTTCTGGGATGCCCCTAAAGGGCCTTTTGGGGTGTTCTCGGAGAAGGCTGGGGGCGTCTCGGGGCCGAAGGCTCGAAAAAGGTGCCCTCTGGACTCTGTCTTGGAGCCGTCAGGGGGCCCTCGTGGGCTGTCTTGGGGGTTTCGTGGGCTGTTGTTGGACCCTCTTGGACCCTTCTCGGGGGGTCTGGGGGCGATATTGAAGGTTTCTTTGCCCGTTGTGGACGTTGTGAAAGCCGAGTACGCGAGCATGCGACATTTTTCTCTCGAAGGGAATGGGGCGATTTCTGTTTCTTGGGACTCTCTTGGGGCGCATCTTGGGTGCCTTTTGGGTTGTCTTGGCAGCTTCGGAGGCCACATGGAGGCCATCGTGGGCTTCCAGGAGCGATATGTCGGCGAATCGTGGCCCCCTGGGACCGTCTGGGGAGCTTTAAAGTGCCTGCTTGGCAAGATTTGGAGCACTCCGCTCCTCCGTGGCGCGTTCGGTCTGGGGTCGCGCTCGGCTCGGGGAGGGTCAAATTACTGGTTTTGGCTTCCTGTGGGGGGATTATGGAGAGGGGGGGAATCTCACGCGCCTAGAGACCCACGCGGGGTCGGCGGACTTCCCCGCGATTCACGAAGATTCACGCTTCAGCAAGCCGCCTGCTCGACCTGGGCGCCTGGGCCTGCCTTCTCGACCCGCCCGTTAGGGTCTACCCGCCCGATCTGCCCGTCTGGTTCTGCCACGTGTTTTCTGCTCCTGTTCCTCGTCCTGCTACTGGCTCTCGTGCTCTATGCTCCTTCCTTTCCCTTGCTTCATCCTTCCATCCGTCCTCATTTCCCCTGCCTTCGGGGCTACACGAAATGCACGTTGCAGGGAAGACATCTACTCCTCATGGGGGTACGACCGGTGACGAGGAGGGCGGGTATCGAGTGTTTGGGATATACGTTTCGAAAGACACGCGAGCAGATCAGAGCCTCCAGTCTTAAACTGCCTGTTGTTGTTGTTGTTGCTGTTGTTGTTCTTGTTCTTGCTGCCGTTATTATTTTTGTTGTTGTTGTTGTTGTTGTTGTTGTTGTTGTTGTTGTTGTTGTTGTTGCTGTTGTTGTTGTTGTTGTGGTTGTGGTTGTGGTTGTGGTTGTGGTTGTGGTTGTGGTTGTTGTTGTTGTTGTTGTTGTTGTTGTTGTTGTTGTTGTTGTTGTTGTTGTTGTTGTTGTTGTTGTTGTTGTTGTTGTTGTTGTTGTTGTTGACGAATAATTACTTTTGGTCCCCCCATCACTGGTGCATACAGTTTTCTCAATCAAAGAGTGCCCCTCGACGCTGGTACCCCTTTTTATAGGGAACGTCTGGATGCTCAAACTGGGCCCTTGCCCCCCTGGATTACAACAGCAACGTCTCCCGCCTGAGACCGCCTGCAAATTTACTCAGGACCCCCGCTCCTGAGAGTTCCTCACAATTTACTCAGGATCGGTGCTCCCACCTGTGAACTCGTCGCAATTTAGTCAGGACCCCCGCTCCCATCTGAGACTTCTTCACACTTTCCTCAGGAACGGCGCTCCCGCTTGAGATTTCTTCGCAATTCAATCAACATCCCCGCTCCCGCCAGAAAGGCCTTCACATTGTATTCAGGAATTGCGCTCTTGCTTGTGATTTCCATGCATTTATTCTGACATCGCGCTTTCGACGGTCAGGAAAAACGCTGCGCCAAGGACGCCGTTACAATTTACTTAGTAATCGCGCTCGCGCCATACTCAGGCATCCCGTTTGAATGTCCCACTCGCCCGACCCGCCCGTCAGGGGATCGCCCGCCCGTCGTCGGCTCCCGCCCGAGATTTCCTTCAGGAGCGGCGCTTTCGCCTAGGACTTCCTCTAACGTTCACGCTCTTACCTTCCTGCTCCTCCTCCCTCTCCCTCCTCCCTCCTCCCTCCTCTCCTCCCTTCTCTCTCCCTCCTCTCTTTCCTCATCCTTATGCCTCTCTGCCCTATCCCCTCTCCCTCCTCTCCCTCCTCCCTTCTCCTTCCCCTCTCCTGCCTCTTCCCTCCCTCTTTCTTTCTCTCTGTCCCTTCTCTCTACCTCTCTTATCTGTCTTTCTCTCTCTCTCTCTGCCTGTAATCAACCGCCCCCCTCTTCGCTCCTTCTCTCTTGGCCTTTTCCATCTTCCTTCGTCCCTTCCCCTTCCCTTCCTCCCACTCTCCCTCGTGGTCCCCTTCCTCTTTATGCAGGGCCCACAGAAAATTCCAACGGCGGGCACATGTACGCCGACGAAGGATTGTCCGCCCGTTCAGGTTTGCCCGTCTGTCTAAGCTCGCCGCCCCCCGCAAGGAGAAACAGTCCCCCCAAACGGGGTGTGATCGAAGACGAAAAGCCCGGTATCGAAGGTGTGGGGAACTCGTTGTGAATGCCACGCGGGCAAGTAAAAACGAACGAGCAGTGTTATGATGTTGTTGTTGTTGTTGTTGTTGTTGTTGTTGTTGTTGTTGTTGTTGTTGTTGTTGTTGTTGTTGTTGTTGTTGTTGTTGTTGTTGTTGTTGTTGTTTTGTTGTTGTTGTTGTTGTTGTTGTTGTTGTTGTTGTTGTTGTTGTTGTTGTTGTTGTTGTTGTTGTTGTTGTTGTTGTTGTTGTTGTTGTTGTTGTTGAACATTATTACTTCTAAAGAATAATTATTGTTGGGCCCCCTGGTGCGGCCCCCCCGCCGCGCCTAGGCCGCAGCCACATTTTCATCATTTTCGTGAGGAAGTCTCAGGCAAAACGGGTTGGTCCGGATCCGGTTGTTTTGTTACGGCCCGGTTTTCCCTTGCAAAAAATAAGCTAAAGTGGACATTTCTTGTTCTAACATAACCAAACTTCAAGAATCCCTTGCAAAAAATAAGGTAAAGTGGACATTCGCGCGCGCAAGACGAAATCCTTCCAAAACCTTAGTTTTCGTAGCGATTTTAACATAACAAACATAAAAAAACACAATTTTTTGTTTTTATATATATATATATATATATAAAACTTGTCAAAATTTCATCCCGCGCGCTCTTGCGGATTCGTAGGAAACCCAACACTTTTTAAACATTTCTGTCAAACGGGCTTTTGCGAGCAACTTTTTCGAACTTCTGCAACAACGGTTGCGCACCTGCCAGGGCCATCATCCCTGTCAAATAATACCATGCGGGACACATTCGTTTTTTCTTCGCGCGCGCACGCCGTCGTCGTCGGCCGCGGGGCCCTGAATAGTAGCCACGGTCGTCCGCATGCCACGAAGTGAAGTGTCCGAACGTCATAGGGCGGGAAGCTGGGTGTGGGTGGTGGCGAAG